CGTCTTTGACTGAAATCTGGAACCAAGGAGGACAGGCCACTGGAGGGAGTGTGTTTCGTTTCAGACATGTTGACCATGAGATTGCTGTGCAATATTTCCAAGTAGAAGTATCCAACGAGCAGAGGAAATACAGGATTGATTTGAAGTTCTTGGACCTTGTGTTCTCAACTACACTCAGATGAAGTCCACTAAGAGTGGACTTTTCCCACTGTTTCTAAGAGTCCTTCATCTTTATCTGTTTCAGTGTGATCTTCAACTGGTGCTTCACCTTTAGCACTTTTGTTTCCTCATCTAAAGTAAAAGGCAGACTAGATGACCTTCATGAGCTCCTAGGTTTAAACCTTCCTCAAGACTGCACCTCTTTCTTTCAAAGGGATTGGGAGTGGGGAAGTTTTAGCTCTTGTTTGTCCGAATCCAGTGTGAGCTCTTTTGGTTGCATATGTTTATGCTAAGAGAAAAGCCTATTCGTTGTATATTGTATATTTGTTGTATATTGAGCCCTCAGTAACATTATCCTCCGGTGCACAAGGAGGAAGAATATAGCTGGATCTGGTGCAAGGGGAAAGCCCTGGCCTGCTGATCTCTTTTGGCTCCCTGGGGCCCGGCTCTCCTTGTAGTAGGGTAGTCAGCATTCCTCTCAGGAGTAATCTTATCCCCTCCCTGAACCCCATTTCATCACAGTGGGGCCAGGGAAGCAAACCTTCCCTTCTTTTTTTAGCCTTCCCATTCCTTTTTTTTTTTTTTAAGAAGGAGGGAAGGGAGGGGAGGGACAGGACATTGACGTGACAGAGAAACATCGTTGCCTCTTGTATGGGCCCTGACCCAGGACCTAACCCACAACCTGAATATGTGCCTGGACCAGGAATCGAACCTGCAATGTTTTGGTGTATGGGACAACACTTCAACCAAATTGAGCCAGCGCAGCCTCCCATTATATTAAGTTTGAGCAGGATGGGCAGTGAGTAAGGAAGGTGAAACCCCCCAAGCCAGGTTGCTCCCTGCTGCTGCTACTCCTTCAGTTGGGTACCCACATGACAGGCTCCTGCTGTGGAAAACCTTTCTCCAGACATTAGAATTTTCTCAAGACCACATTAGCAACCAGAAAGAATGTACATGTGCAGAAAGCTCATCCCGCTACTGCCCTCTTTCATCAAAGGGGAGGAATGGGTTTTCAGAGTCCTCAGCCTCATACTGAAATGTAGGGGTCCATGAGGGCTGCTTCCCTGGAGGTGCAATCCAGACCTTGTCGGGCTGTCCCAGTGTCCTCTGTTGCTCTGTCACAGTGGCTCTGAGCCAGTCAAAGGGTGTACAGCTGTGTCTGTTCTAACCCTCCACCTAGCTTCTCTCACAAAACAAGTCCAGGATTATTGCTTTTCCTTTGCATTTTCTCTCCTTCATGTTCTGTTCATTCATTCAACAGGTACTAAACTAAGCTTTTTGAAAGCAAATGTATAACAGTTTGCTCAAGCAGCTAATAATACAATAAGAAAAGTCATATAAATAACTTACAGTGATGGCTTCCCAACTAAATTATTATTAAGAATCCCTTGAAGAGCAGACTTTCTGATTCAGTGGGTCTGGGTGGAACCAGGAGTGTCATTTCTACCAGGCTCCCGGGGCTGCTGCTGGTCCCTGACCACTGTCAAGTGCATTGTGGTGCTGGAGTGCAGGCAGGAAGGTATGGTTAGGGCTTGGGAGTGTGGAGGAGGAAGGAAATAGCTCCAACCTTTTTATGTTATTTTTCCTGTTATATTTATTTCCTGGGTCAGATTTTTCTGAACTTTGTGAGGCCATAAAAGCTCACTCGAGGTCTCCATGGGCTGCGAGGGACTTCGGGCTCTGAGTCCACGTCAGGCAGGAGACCTGTTTGTTCCAATCCCAGTTGTTTCATCCTCCTTTATGTCTTTCCTCTGCGCTGGCTGTCATGCCCCTCCCTCCCAGACAGGGTCCCAGGGGCGGCAGGAATGAGCGCAGACCTCAAAGGTTTTTGAAGAGGAGCTTACTTTAAAAACTCGTCCCTGGGTGAGAGCAGCTTTCAGAGGGTGTTCTCTGGAACCCGCTACCTCGGGGACTGTCACAGGGGTTGAGGTCCTTCAGTCTCCCTCCACCACCAAGTACTTTTATTTATAAGGGGTTCTGGGAAAATTAGTTTGAGAAAAAGGTTCCGTGGCTTTTATTTTTAACTTTGAAAATTACTGCTCTTAACATTTGCTCTGAGTTGAGCCTCATTTTGCTTGTGTGTGTGTGTGGGGGGGGGGGGTGTGTGAGAGAGAGAGGGAGAGGGAGAGGGAGAGGGAGAGGGAGAGAGAGAGATACTGCAAGGATTGGGAAGTTTTAGATATAGTAATCTAGTTCCTATGGATATTTTTGAAGTTCCTTTAACAAAGAAAGCAGTGGTATATCTTTAAACAACTTTCCACTGGATACTATTCAATAAACAAGCAGTATTACACACTACATGCCAGTCTCAGAGCTGGCCCTGGGGTGCAGACTTGAGTAAGACTCAGATTCTTAAAAACTTGTTAGGAATTATCCCCACTCCTCTCCTCTCCCAGTGGTCACTAACTCAGCTCATACATCTCCATTGACTCATTTTGAGCACATCCTCCTCCTGACCACCCCCCGTGTGCTACTTGTGTCTGGACATTTACAGTCACTCCTTGTGCTTCCTTCACAAGAGAAGGGAGACATGACAGGATGTATCAAAAGATTTACCATGTGAGAGTTCACCCTAATCTCTTAGGCCTCTGCTTCACTACCTGACTATCCCATTACTCAGTAGCTTTGGGTTTGCCTCCAAATCCCCATTCTGCTGGGCTAGGTTTTGTGCAAATGTTATTCAGTGAATCGTCTCTGAGCATCAGTAGAAACCCAGTGGATGGTGACGCTTTAGGATGAAAATGCCAGTGTCCGGCAATCATCAACTCCATCAGCCAGGCTGAGCCTGAAACGCCGACTCCCCTCATCTCCATTAGTTCTCTCTTTAGGATCAGATGTCTTAAAAGACATTTGTTTTAAAACTCTCTCAAGGAAGCACCCATTGATGAGGCAAAAACCCGCATTCAGCCGGGCCCGGCCAGCACAGCCCCTCTGGTGGTGGTCACTCCTGCTGTCCCAGCGGGGCTGAGAGCATGGCGGAGAAACTGAGTGTGCCGGGCTTGGGACTCTCTTGACTTTTCAGAAAGACTCCAAATATCTTAAAATAGCGTGGTAGCTGAAGTACCAGCAATAACAGCGCGTTGTTCCTGAGAATGGCTGTTTCAGTCGGGCACTGGCTCTAGCAGCACTGAGCTTCCCCAGCTGGGCTCCCACAGGAGCGGCTCCAATGGAAATCAGATGGTCTCCTCGCAACAGGAAACGAGGTCTGGTAGCATTCCCTCAAACCGCCCCTTTTGAGGAATTTCCTTACAGAAACTATACACACCTCCACCCTCGGACTGGTGGTATCCACCTGATCATTTTAAAGCGGCTGTGACGCTGTTTGCCTCCCTCAGTAATAACAGCCACTCCGCTCTCTGGGCCTAGGCTCTCAGCCTGGACACAGGCAAGCGTGTTCCCTTCGCCAAGCCTGAGGAGGGCATCAGGAAGAGGAAGTGGGGAAGCCAGCCCGCCCCCTTACAGAGCAGAGTGTTGGGATCCCCAAGCTGCCCTCTGAATAGACAGTCATCAGTCAGCTCTGGGCTCCATCATCCTGGCAGAGGCCCTTGCCATGTGGCTGGCTGTGGAAAGCCTTGCCCACCCCCCACCCACCAGGTGCACATGCACCCACAGGCTCAGCTGCTTTCTGGTGGCTCCATAGAGCAGTCCCCACCTCACTCACACTCAGCAAGCAGTTTTGTTGCCAGCCCCTTCCCATTCTGAAAAGCCTGCTCAGAGCCAGAGTTTGGGGGATGACGAGGATGAGGGAGACCTGGGATGAGCAGGCTGGGTGGCCTCTGAGATGGTGGGACTCTTCTCCTTGGATCACGTGCACTGTAGGCCTGGAAAGTCCTGAATGGTGGGGTCACTAATGGTTTTATCAGCCACCTTTCCCTGAGTCCCTGAGCAGGTCTGGGCAGCATCCTTGACCTACTTGAGTTCAGATTTGACAGGTGGTAAAAGCGCATGTTGAGGTTGCTGCTTCACAGGGTCCAGATTCATAACTATTGACTGATGTTCCTTCTGCCTTTGCCCGGGTGTTTGCTGTTACTTTAATGGATTGCTGCCCAGTGCATTCTGAGGCCCAGGCACTTGCCCTTCAGTCTGGAAAACTGCAGCTTGACCCTAGTGGAATCAGAGCTGCATGAGGATCGTTTAGACCAGTCAGTTGCAGCTTGATTCGCTTTTTTCCCCTAGAAAATAAATGTAGTCGGTGTAAACAGCATTTGTGAATGTTCATATTTGCATCTTTGTGGAGCTTAGCTTTAATCAAAATACTCGAGGCTTTCCACTTCCATTTTCTGAATTTTTAACAACTTATACGCTGTGTAGGTACAACATCTGGTCCTGTGCTTCTAAGCGCCAAATGTGAAATGCTTGATGAACATAATTTATCTGTCTATTAATTATACTGATAAGCAGACAAGTCCTTCAGTTCTTCCAGTGTTTTGGGGCCGTGCCAGGAAGCCGTTGCTCTCCCAAAGGCTCTCAGCGGTTTTCAAGAGATGTCTCCTACTGGTTCTTTTTCTTCCTCCTTCCCTGAGAGGACCACGTGCACTGTTTATGCAGGAAATCCCACTGCTCGGGGTCCCCCGCTCCGGTTGGAAAGACATCAGAGTGCCCCAGGCGGAGCCTGCCCGCCTCTCAGCAGGCACCCGCAGCCGATGCGAGTTGCTTTCTCTCATTGTGTGTTTCCCGTTCCCTGGCTTAGAGTTTGCAGGCCAAAGCCAGCAGGTTATTAAAAGAATGAGAGTCATTTGACTTCTGACACGGATTGGGGCTCTGGGTTACTGGGTGTTTTGTTCTGATTTGAAACCGGCTGTTTGGTAACCACTAACTCTCCCCTTATTCTTTTCTTGCAGATGAGCTCACAGTGCCTGCACTTTACCCCAGTAGCCCTGAAGTGTGGGCCCCGTACCCTCTGTACCCAGCGGAGTTAGCGCCTGCTCTACCTCCTCCTGCTTTCACCTATCCCGCTTCACTGCATGCCCAGGTAATTTATACCCATCGGCCACGACTTCACTCACTCCTCCACCAGTCCTTTCAAACCTGGTTCCCAGAGCACACCATACAACTAACACCTACCAGCTAACAGATCCACCTTCGAGAGACTACTGATCCCCTCTAAATCGAGCTGACACTCCTCCAGGACTTACGAGGACCATCTGACAGCAATGATGTCACCCACTGCCTGATGTTTGCCCAAACAACACCTCTCTCTTCCTTCATGACCTCACCCTCATGTCACCCACGAGGGACCGGGCCCAGGTGACCTCGCCAGCTCCCAGCCAGCTAGAGGCGTCACCAGCGCGTAGATGTGTGCGCCTTGTCGTGTGGAAGGGCCGCAGGGGAGGTGTGTGCTTGTCGTAGGAGTTACGTGTCTGCGTGTGTTTCTGCGCTCTGGGAGATTTTTCTCTCGTGTTCTCTGGTAGCTAGTGACCAAACGGGAAGTTGGGAGCTTCTAGGAATATGTTACAGAAGAAATTAAGGGTTTCTTTTTCCCAGTATCAGGAAATCCTGAAGAAAAAGTATAAAATAGTGTCTAGAATGTAATTGCAGGTCAAAGTAGAGGCCTTTATTCTGACCAGCTTTTTTTTTAAAGTTAAGAATAGCCTGAGATTTATAAATTCCCTTGTTTGTTCACAAAGATTACTGTCTACCTACCAACCCTTTCTCCCCCCTTGGAAAGAAAAGCTTTGCTTTTAGTGTAAGTAATAGTCAGTATTACGATTCATGGTGATGATCAGTAGCAAGAAAGATAGGAGAGTCAAGGTTTCACTTGTCTACTGCATGTGTAACTCCTCTAAAAGCAGGAAAGCCTGGTTTTTTAAGACGTGTTGGCTTGGACAGGTGGGGTTTTTGTTTGTCTATTTTGCTTAGTGTTTATTTCCAAGGCTGGATGAAATAAACAGCTTCCTAGAGTACTCTTCCTTCAGACTGAAGCCTTCTGTGTTGTACAGAACTCACCGTATTGTGTAAGACCCTACAACAGTCCCAGTGAAGGTTCCCACAGGGCGTGGGGCCAGGCGTGCTGTCGGCTGACTGTCCTTCCATTCTTTGGCTGAGCTCTAAATGCTTCCTGCGTGCACTGACAACCGGCTTCCCAGGCCTCGTGCAGGCGAGCTGAGAGAGAGCCTGGGAGCCTAGGCAGTGGCTACTCTCTGTGCTGGCAGGAGGCGGCAGAAAGTAGTGAAGAAAAACGCAGGTGGCACTTGGTCCGGAAAATAAAGTAACAAGATTATTCTGAGACTAATTCCCCTTTTCTAGATTAGCTGTGCTTTCCGCTGCTTTTTCCACCTTTTGTCCATGTCTGTGCTTGGTCACCTGGAGATGGCAGGTAGAGGAAGGAGGGGTAGAACATAAACCTGTGGGTATCTTCTGCTGAGTCATCATCCTGCTCAGAGTGGGCTTGGAGATCACTTGTAGATGACGGGGAAAGCGCCCCCTCTGTTTGGGCCCATGCACCCCACCCTACCATCTGCGAATGTGTCTCTTCTCCTCTTCCTCTTGCTAGATTGCCCAGAATATGGATCAGTTGACAATTGAGGCAAGTGTTAGTAAATACCATAAAATAGTGCCAAGTTCACGTGGTCATCTGAATATCCTTGGCTTTGGTTAATAAGCACCAAAGCTTTTCACCATTGCTCTGGACAAGCAGGGATTGACAGTGGCCAGAAAGGACTGGGAATAGTGGCTTTTGGCCATGGCATCTGGGTAATTTGCCCTTCCTTCATCCATATAACAGATGAAATGAAAAGTAGTACCTGGAGATATGGTGAGAAAAGGCGCTCAAGAGCCATAAGAGATTAGAAAGCCCAGGCCATTGTGAGAAAGGATGGGAGAGGAAGCGCCAAAATAAGATGGACTCAACCCTTTGGCTTCATGGGATATGTTGCCCAGGGCGGCACCTTCCCTGTGAGTTCTTCCTTGATCTGGAGACCCTCCCAACCTGGACTCCCCTTGGTTCTGCCACATCGACCATAGAGGTGGTGGAACTCTCATCTGGTACCAGAGAGGTCCTTGTGCTCAGCCCCACTTCCTGTTCCGAGTCATTCCCAGTGCGAGCGTGGGTTCTGTATCCTAAAGACTCATGGACAGACATGGTCATTTAAATATCTGTGTCCAATACGAGCATCATAGAACAGACTGGCAGAGGCTTTACAGACCACCTGGTCTGACCATTTTACAGATGAGGAAACAGACCGGAGAAGGTGGGGAGAGTTACCCCAATCGCGAGTGGCTCTGCCATGACGAGCCAGGTCCCCCGCCTCCCGGCCCGGCTCTTCCTGCCGCCGTGCTGGCTCAGCAGGCTTACTCTCTGATGGAGTTCTGAAAAAGCCTCACTCCAGTGACTCCTTGGATCTTTCTCTTCTAAGTAGATAAGAAGCCTCTACGAAGAGACTTGGAGGCAAAGTCAAGGGAATCAGAACTTAAGCTTCACCAAAGGGCCTAAGAGAGTTGTTATTACCTGGAGGTAGAGACCGACACGGAGCATCCCCTTAGTTGCTAATTCCGTTTTGGTTTGGAGATCCTTATTACATGTCTTTGGAGAAGCTTTTAAATTATTTTGCTTTTCTCAGCAATGTTGTGCTCTGTTTTGAGACATGGATTTTTTTTTTCTTCTAGTGTTTCTGTCCTGAGGCAAAGCCCAACACACCTGTCTTTTGTCCACTTCTCCAGCAAATTAGATTTGTCTCTGGGAATGTGTTTGTAACGTATCAGCCTACTGCAGACCAGCAGAGGGAGCTCCCAGGCTGAATTCGCTTGTTAGCAATCCCCCCCCCATCCACCCCACCCCCTACAAAACTATTTCTTGGTAACATTTGAGAAAATTCAATAAAAATTTTAATCAGACCAAAAACAATCTCAAGTAGACTGCAGCGTTTTGTTTTCATGATGATGGGATTTTGGAGCTAAGATGTTACCTCTGGCTGAGATTGTGGGAGAAGTGGGTCCAGTGACTCTAAGTGTACATTCTGTGGGAGGAGGAGGAGGAGCCTCTGGGGGTGAGGCAGTCAGATCTGGGGCCTCACTGCCGCCGCTTCCATCTTCTCGGGCCCCAAACCCTCAAAGGCTGTGTATTGGAAGGTTCTCATTCTAGCATCAGGGGTCACATCTACTGGGAGACCTGGCTCCAGCAAGATGGTGTGTGTCGCTGGTGGAAGCCTATTTGAAGCAAGCAGTGTGTTTTCCGGTTATCCACCCTGGTCCAGGAGGAGGAGGACCCAGGAGACGGGAGTTGTCATGGAAAAGGAGTTGCATCACACACCTAGTTCTGCGCACCTTCAGTTCATGGTCTGGTGTCTCCATCTCTAAATTGACATCAAATCCTGTCCTTAAAGAATCATTGGATGTGGTGGTAGGATTGTAGGCCTCAATATTGCTTTATTTTTATTGAGATGAAAAACTACTTGGTGCAGCAAACATTTGACTTCTGAGAAGATCATTAATATTTTTAGACGTGATCATCCTGTTTACTTTCAAGGTCATTGGTATTTGAAATTTATTAGCTATATTTTGTGAGTCATTGAACAGGCAAGGGAGGCTTCATTCACGGCGGTCAGGAACATGAAACTCTGCAGAGGACGTCCAGCTGCTCCTGTCACCTCGTGGTCACATATCTCAGCTTGTTGTCTGGGTTCAATTTCGTTCTTAGTCTTGTTGCTGATGGGGCAGCAAGAAAGTCAATAAAGCACAGTCCTCACCACATTCCAGAACAGTGTCATGTACCCTTGACCAGGGGCATGCTCTTGGGCCAGACCTGTGGCAGGTAAGGGGCTGCGAGAGCAGGTGCTGGTGCCTGTTTGTGCTCCAGGGGCCCCTGTGCCTGAGCAGTAGCAGATTTCACAGGCTGCTCTATGGCTCTGGACTCGGACACGTCACCTGCACGTAAACAAAGGTTTTCAAATCACAACACAGACTTCCCAGGGGCAAGACATGCCCCTTGGGAGATCTCTTATGACACACTGGAAACATTTAAAGGTTAAATCCAAAATAAATACAAAAATGGACCATGGGAAAAGAGACACAGCAAATAGGGAGGCAAGATCGTGAGGGAGAGAGGGCCCAGGCATGGTGTGCAGTGGCGGGGTGCCCCACCGCCGCCGCTGTGTCCCGGCGTTTACTGGGCAGCACTGCAGACTTCTGAGCACTGCCCTTTAAAACAGTTTTTGAAAACAACAAATGTTATTAAGCATCTTCTCTGTCACTAACGGTGCCCTGTAGAGAATACAGAAGTAAAGACGACACACGAACTCTGGTTTGGGATGGGATGTAAGTTAAGCACAGAGACCACGAGCAAGGAGTATCTTGAGAGGCAGGGAGCAGGCAGGTGTGAGCGGCCTCAGGTGAGCACACAGCCTGGCAGCCTGGCAGCTATGCACCACGGCCCCGCACCTGTGGGACTTGTAGACGAAGGACTCATTTTCCAGCTCCCCCTCCTGTTCAGAGGCAGCATCCAGTGCTGTAACGTCGGCTGGTCCTGCAGGGGGGCCTGTCATAAAGCCGTCGCTGGGAGCCAGGAGAGTTCAGCACTTCAGCCAACAGCCTCCCAGAGGTGAGGGAGGAGTCCTGAGGTCCGGCCTTACTTCTGAGCATCACATGGCGTCAGCCTTGAACCCTTGTCCTCGTCCTTAAGGCCTGGCTTTCCCAAAGGGGTGTGGTCCTCTTGCCACCCGGGGCTTGGCACCGTCGGACGACCACAGCGCTGAAGGACGGCAGAGGTGCCTGGGGCTGTTCTATTCGAGGCTTCCCGTGGTTCAGACATGCATGAAACTATGAATCCTCTGACATTACTTTCTGTCTAAATTTGCAGCTCTGAAGGTCAGACTGCGAGGAGAAAGCACCCTTTGGTGCTCCTGAAGGTGCCAGCTTTGTCTAGTGCCTGGTCATCAAGGGGCATCTACCTTAACTTCCCTCGGAGATGGGGCAGGTCGGCCAGGCAGTGTGAGCTCAGCTCCCAGTCCGCAGGAGCCCAGAGCCCCTGCCCTTCCCGGTGCCCGGCTGCGGAGCTGCCCGTCGGCCCCAGGCCCTGCAGTTGGTCAGCTCTGGGACCTGACGGAGCAGGTGCCTTAGCCTCAGGGTTCCCGTCCGTGAGAGTGAGGGGCCCTCGTGCAAGACTCTTGAAAGAGAGCCCGGCTCATCTAAGGGCTGAGTAACGTTAGCCTTTAGGGAGCGTACGAACTTTCAACGAAAAGGGACCCTGGGCCCAGCACCACGAGGCTGTGCTGGTTCAGCACCGAGGACCCTCGTACACCTCGCACACCTCGACGGCACCAGCAGGGCCCCAGAGGCCCGTGGCTGCAGCCAGAGGAAGACCAGAGGTGGGGAGAACGACGGGGACGGAGCAAGGCGAGGAGACGTCTGCCCCCCAGCCAGCAGCGTGGTTGCTGCTGAGTGCGGCACCTACAGGAGGACTTGTCCCACGGGGGAGTCTGCCCACAGCCAGGCCCCACGCTTCTGCCCGAAGAAAATTCTCCTTCAGGAAATGGATCAAGAGCAGGAAACAGCTGACATCCCAGAGACCAAGCAGTTGGTGTATTTTGCTTTACTCACACCCGCTGGCCCTGAACTTCCCAGCTGCTGCCTTATCTTGCTTTTCTATCGGAGGCCGGATTAGAGAAGGAGGCCGGATTAGAGAAAGCCGGCAGGTCTCCACCTTCCTCCCTGGGCTTTCTGGCTTGTTCTTCCTGCGGTTGCCCCCCTCGCTAGGACTCCACCAGCCTCGTTTCCGGGGGGGGGGGGGTGGAGTTACATCTTGTGCCTTGTAATTCTCCTCACGGTCCTGTGGCTGAACCCCAGGGGATCCACTCCTAGCCCAGCACCTTCTCATCCTGTCCGTCCCTTCCCCTCTGCTTGGCGTTTGGAGAACTAAGGAAGCGAGAGACATCGGCATCGGCCCAGCCTCGCTGGCCTCATCTCCATCCAGTGTTGTTGGAGTCGTCGTGCCTTTGGCAGAGCTGCGGCTACGGAGGCCAGACTTGCCCACGCTGGGCAGCCTTTGGCAGTACCTGTTCCAAAACAAGTCCATCCCCTGGGTGCCCTGTCCAGCGTCGCTGACCCAGGTGCGAGAACAGCTCATCGTCTCCCAGGTTCCTTGGGCAGGTTCCACTTGGTCCTTTGTGAGGCGAAGCTCCTTAGGTCCTTGGTCTGTTCCATGACCTCACTGCCCGTAAAAGCCCACCTCTGAGTCCCAGTGAGCCCGCCTCTGACAGACGGGGACTGTCAACAGAGGCAGGTCTGACCGTCACAGGATGGCGCAGCGGGCCCAGTGCAAAGCTCATAGGGCCGCAGGCCTTCACTGCAAAAAGTCCCGTTTTAATGAGGTTTTCCACCCATTCTGCTCACTCTGGGTGGTAGCAGGCTTTTTTAACATTTCCCTGAGCTTCAGTTTCCTCATCTGAACACCTGCTTCAGGGGGTTATTTTGTGGGAAAGAGTACAATGCTTGCAGTAGCCTAGTGATGACTAAAGTCGCTCTTCTTTGTGTCAGAGCTTGATGGTGCCTGTGGCTGTGGTGTGTGTGGAGGGAGGCGCTGCCTCAGGCAGGGGGCCGTCCACCCAGGATTTCAGGCCTTGTTCCATAGGAATAGGCACCCAGAGAGCATGCTAACTGCTTTGGCAACAAAGCCAAGGCTGCAAAAAAACTTTGCAATGATAAGACATATCCTTCATAAAAAGTGAACTTTTCCCTGAAGTTAACCAGTTGTGACAGGGGCAAAAAGGAAAATCAGCTCCAGATGGGATCATGTTTTATTCAGGCTGTGCTGCTGGTGGGGAAGGCCCGGGTTCGGTGAAGACTGGGAAAGGGGACGCCCCAGCTTCAAGCCGCAGCCACGCTGCTCCAAGTTCTTCTCGCTTCACTGAGCTCAGCTCCTGGAGACCTCTAATGGCCCTCAATCGCAAACATAGTTAAAAATTAACAGACTGACACAATTAAATATGGATGACAGGCAACCACGATGGACTTTATCTGACACAGGGTGTTACATGCTTGGGTGCCTCGATCCGAGAGGCGTCTTGCATGAACTTCTGGGATGTCTGAGCACATTTCACATGCCTGTTTGGAAATAAGAGCCTGGCTTGTGCTCCGGACAGGCAGGTTAGAGTCTAAAAGCCCAGAAGAGAAAGTTATCCCCGAGGGCTTATGTTTCATTAGCCAAGCCTCACTGGTCTCAGCAGGTGCTCACAGACCTAGGGCCTCGCATTTGGGGTCTAGATCTCGCTCCTGCCCAGGTGAGACCTCAGCAATGTCCCACCATTCAGACTGGGAGGTGGCAGGAGCACAGGGCTGGGCTACAGCGTGGCTTTGTGTATAGTCAGCCAGGGGTAAGATGGTAGGTAACCTTTGAACCAATTCATGTAAGACGTGACAATATGCCTAGACAGTGGCAACCCGTTTAATTGCCTGAGGCAAGGACTATTAGGTGCCAGACAAGTAGTGAAGGCTGCTGATGGCACTGCATGCCCTCTGTGTCTGTTAGGAAAGGGGCAGAGGGCATTGGGGTTGGGTTGGAAGTTTCCTGACAGAGTGATCATCAGTGGGCCTCATTTCTTGAAACAAATTCCCAAAGTGTTCCTCCAGTTGGGTGAATGCGGTATTAAAAATGGGGTTGCTATTTA